ATTATTATTATTATTATTATTATTATTATTATTATTATTATTATTATTATTATTATTATTATTATTATTATTATTAAAATTGTTTTCATATAATGTTTGTGGGGGCAGTCAAGGAGCAATCTCAAAATTAATAAAGAGGTTGATGAGCTGAAGAATTTGGGGATCCCTGATTTACTACAAACTTATAGAATTACTTTCCCTGATGCTCTTCTTTTCCTGGAAGGATTGTGCAACTAACAAAGCAAGCTGCAGCATTGTGTAATTGTTAATTTAGGCAAGTGGATTTGTATGCTTTTAAGTGGAGCAGAGCCAAAACCACTTAAGTGTTCTAGGTGTTTCTGCAGCATTTTGGAAGTGGCCATCTCTCTTCTGTACTTAAAATGACCTAGAACAATGCTTGGACTGAAGCATGAAAGAAAGTACAAAACAGCAACTATTCCGTGACCATAGCTAGTGCTCTCCTTTGCTCCTTCCCTCCTTGAAAACATTTAGAAAAAAATTAATTGCTCTTCCACTGCAGCAGAGACCCATTCCTGAGAAAGCAATGATCAATGTTTCTCACACTCTGAAAAACTGAAGTAAAAGTATTTCATACATTCCTTTGCCCATAAATAGTGTGGTAAATTTGATTTGCACAAATCAGTCAACAGTTTTGTTTGAAATTTTTTGTTTCATTATTCAGACAAGTGCACATTAGTCAGCAAAACTGGGGAAGAAGTGCTTCCCTTTTTCCCCCACTCTCTATTCAAACTGCATCAAGACAGCTACAGATGTCAAAAAAACCACAAACAAGAAAAATATTAAAAAGTAACGTAGAAGTAGCAGACTCAGGGGGTGGGGTAAAATTCTTTTCTTCAAATTTTAGTTCTATTCACTATGGGATGAGGTAAATTTTATGATTTGTGAGAATGCAGTTTTTATATGTTTTTATGACTTGCAAATTGTATTCTGAGTTTGTGGTGCCACATTTTGAGGGTAACCACTGTGAAAGGAGAGAGCAGACATTCATAGAGAATGGTGAACAGATCTATCTATCTGATCATCGATCTCAAATGTATGTCTCTAGGAAGTTAACAAATAAAAGCAAAATAGTATGCAAATTGATGACATCTGTTGATAATAAGTGCTTCTGACTATCCTGTTTGTCCCTATATCTGATCATTTTACAGAGAGCCCTAGTGATTTAAATGGAAATCAGGAATTGGACAAACTCAAATCAGTTTCTAAGTGCTACACCCATATAGAAACCTCCTCTAATTCAGCCGATGTAGAAAAAATGACAAATGGAGAAACTTCCTCCTTCTGGCAATCGGATGGGAGTGCTCGATCACACTGGATACGGTGAGACTTTCTTGCTAAATATTTAGTAAACTGCCTAAGATGGCTAGAATAAAAACTGACATTCATGGAAATTGATCTATAATTCTGTTAAAACAAGATTCCCAGGTGTTAGGGTGGTACAACTGGATTGTGTTCATTTAACCAGCTGAATTCATCGATTAGGCCTGGCCTGAGCCTAATGCTGGCATATACTTAAAACATATGAACCCTGAACAGATAGAAATCTGACCTGGCCAAAACAAAAAACAAAAAAAAACCACCGCAAAAGCATTTTTCTCATACCAATTGATGGATCTAAAATAGCATGCTATGATTATCTTTCAGGACTATTAATTGCTTGCTTGATATGTTAAATATTATATGTTAAATGATAAATGTTTAAATGACAAATGTTAAATTATATGTTAAATTTGCACAAGAGAAACCTTTTTCTAATGGGAAAAATCTTTTCTCTTTTCACAATCTTCTGAATTATGCCTTCTTGTATCAGAGAAAATTGTAGTTTTAGCTAGATTTTATGTGTAGTGTATATTATATGCGCACATATAATATGCTATTTATTGCAAATAATTTAATAGAATAAAAATGATAAAAATATTCTAAAATAATACCGTGTTTCTCATATAATAAGGCCGGGTCTTATTTTTTTTTGAGTCCCGAAAAAATGGCTAGGCCGTCTTTTCGGGGGTGACTTAATTCCCCCCACTTGCATCTTCGGGCGGGCGGGCAGTGAGGGCTTGGATATTGACCTCGGCGTTGGTGAGGCACTTTGTATCGGGGTCAACGCAGGCAGCACCATATCCGGGTGTGCAACAAAAGTGCTTCCTAACGGCAAGCCCCCCCCCCACCATTTCCCCACCATTTTGCATGTTTTAATATAGGCCTTAATTTGGGGGGAGGGGCTTAATTTCATTTCATGCCTATAAAACATGCTGGGACTTCCTATTGGGGGAGGCCGTATTGTTGGAGAAACAGGGTACATCTCTGATAATCTATTTTAGGTAAATGGAATTTTATTTCTTGTTAAGTATGTATTTGTTCCTTCAATTTATACAGCAACCCATCTCAAATATATGACTTTAGGCAACTGACAAGAAATTAAAAGTTACAAACATCATAACATAAACAAAAACACAACAGCCAAGATAAAACCATCCAGCACAATCAGTCTGTGTATCTATATCTGTAGCAGTATAACTAGGAATGCAGCCTAAATGTTGCAGCCTTTTGTTTTCTCAAGAGTCATTGAAATGGAAATGTTTTATCTTGTGAAATATAAGCCTATCAATTGATACAGTCATGCTTGCTATATTACGCTATTTTCTGTCAAGTAGACTACAGTTGAACTTATTTTTGTATTGGTTGCTGAGAAATGTGAGTATTGAAGGCATTCCTCTTGGTTTCTTCATGCTTTCATGAATAATGCTTGTATTAAAAGTTTCCATAACAGTGATGTGTCATCATACCTTAATTGTCCTGTGTTTGTGTTTTTATACTTCATTGCATACATTCTTACTTTGTGAGCCACTGAGGCCACTGTGGTTGCAGTTGATAAATAAACTCTTTCTTTCTGCCTTGCAGTTTAAAGATGAAGCCAGATGTCATTCTGAGGCACCTCTCCATTGCTGTCGCAGCGAACGACCAGAGTTACATGCCCCAGCAAATTACAGTAGCAGTTGGAAGGACTCCCAACAATCTCCAGGAGGTCCGAGATGTTCACATTCCCAGCAATGTTACTGGATACGTGACATTGTTGGAAAACGCTAACATTAGTCAGATGTGTGAGTCAATAACAATACAATTGGCTTTTTTGCTGTTTTTTTTATTTTAAGTAAATTACTGAATAACTTGGAAGCTAAAGGCAGAACTTGACACCCTTTTAAAGAAAGTGCAAGCAGCCATTGCTGTTATTTACTAAAACTGGATGAGAAGATAATTCACTCTGTCTTTCTCTATGAGAAAGAACATATTTATTTCTCTTTTGCTAAAAGTTTGTAGGAGATAGAAGCAGTAAGGCACTGCTTCAAGTCTCTGCAAATGTGGAACCTGAGGAACCTGAGGAGATAAGAGATGGTTAGCCTTCTCAGAAGCATCAGATGTGCCAATCAGCTATTCCTTTTCTTTGTAGTAGGGAGCTATGGGTGCATTTTCTCTCTTCCCATTAGAGTTTTGCAGGGAAGAGCAGTGAGGTCCAACAAATACTTTGTTAACTGTGTTGATAGAGAAAAACCATCTTTCTTTCTGTTTGTTGAGAAGGAAGTTAGTGGTAGTTGAGTGTTTCTGCAAATTGGGCTTTTAAAGAAATTGCAACCACCATCTCCTGCTGGCTTTTCAGAATGAAAAGAAGACTGTCCTCAAAATCTTCTTTCTCTGTGGTCATTTTGGTTTTTTTTCAGGAAATAGCTGTGAGGTTCCAATATTGCTTTCTTTAAAAAAGAAGCCTGAAAATAGAAAATAGTTTTTTTTCTGAAGAACGTGAGAGGAAAGGGGAGGGAGCTTCTCACAAGTAGGAGATAGACATGCAGATGTAAAAGGGGCTCATCTCTTAATCGAGAGGTGTCAATGTGTTCACCACCTCTTCCATCAGATAATTTAATTAAAAATATATTTCCTCTTAGCAGAACCTTCATCCCTTCGTAGCACCTATAAACTTACAAACATATTTGCACAAGTGAAATTATTTCTCATAATTCTGTCCTGAGGTTGTGGTTTGGTCCATTGCAACCATCATTATCTATGAAAACAGCAGCCTTGAATCTTTGGCTGTTTATTTGTGTAGAAATGGAATAGGGCCACTCAAAAATAAGAGTGACTTTTACATAAGCAGGCACTTTAATAATAATAAATGATGTCAGTGAAGACAGGGCATAGATTATTGGGAGCGCTAGCACGAGCTACTCTGGGTTTTATAATACCCGAATAAAGTTATACTCAGGACTCCATCTGCATACATATGTATACACGTCTAAAAGTAACAAACAAATTGAAAATTATTTGGAACTTTCCAGTATGTTTTTGTACCAGTTTGTTCTAAGGAGGAAAATTTCCCGCACTTAAGTAAGTTTGGGTTTCTCTCATATGTTTCATAGTGTAAGAGGAGGGTGACAGCACTTTCTCCTGTTCTTTGGGGAAATCTCCTTCCTTTGAACTTTGAACTTTTAGTTTTTCAAGGCCAATCAGCTCTAAACAGGATCACTTTTTAGTTATAGAAATATATTGGGGCACTTGATTGCAGATCTCAATTATTAGTCTCAATTCTTGATTGTGTAAATATACCTGCAACATTTTAGGAATCACTAGAATTTCTCTTTGGGCAATAGTCATGTATCATAATTATAACTAACCATTAAATATATATGCTGTCAGTGACAATCAAAACAAAATCATTTTTTTAATCAAGAAATTGTTGCCTAGGTTGCGTATATCAGCAACATTCAGCATCTGTCTATGAGAACAGAGACAAGAGGAGCCCCATTGGAGTAGATATGATAGGGCTGAAAGAATTACGTTATATGGAGTATTTCTTGGGTTTTTCTAAGAAATGTTTTCACTTTAAAACAATTGTGGTAGTGGAACCCTGTTTCAGAATAATGAAACAACGATACTGTAGGAATAATGGAGGCCAATCCATTCTGTTCTCTTCTGCCATTTTTCAAAAACTATACTATTATCACCCCACCCCAATGCATTATTGCTGGGTGTATATTTTCCTCTGTGATTAATAGTTTGAGGGAAGGTAATTGGATCAGAAAAAATAGTGCAGGTTGACTTGTATCCTGATCCAAATGGAATTATACTTCCCTTTGTAAATTCTGGTTTTATTTCCCCCCTAAGTAACTACTTTTAACAGATAGCCTGGCCATCTGCCAAATAAATTCTTGGCCTATATCCATCTGCTGTTGATATAATATACTGTCTTATTTCCTTGTAAATTTGATTGATTACTTCGATGTAGGAATTTATTCTTAATTTTGGCAATTGAGTCTTGAACTCCAATCTTATAATCATTGAGAAGAAATAATGCTCTAATGTCAGAGATGGTAAATTACTTGTTCTAGTCGTGTCCCCTCCCCCACCCCCGGGTTTTGTTTTTAGTAGAACTCGAAGAATTGAACTTGCAAACATAAGGCACGTCAGCGTCAGTGGCAGAACATAGTTCCTACTAAGTTATCATGATATCATAGGAGTTGTTCTCATGGTGCTGGGACATTCATTTGTTGAAATTGTTGGGTATTGTGCTTTTTAGTTCAATAGACTCATACAGAAGGATATGCCAGGTGATTGAAATTGTATTAATCCAATTAGGTTATGGAATACCATTTTACAATTCTCCAAAGCCCCAAAACCAGAACTGACATTGTCACAGGAGTATTGCTGGCCATTTAAACCTTTTACATTTGACAAACATGGGAACTATGTAGGTTTCCTTTGCTTTTTTGCTCTTAAATCACCCATGTCTTTTTCCATATAAATTCATGGGGATGTTGAGTGTTTGTATTTAGCACATGTACAGATACAGATGCACCCTTCTGGAGATAGTGCTGCAGTGTTTGCTTGCATTTAACTTGCTTGCTTTCCCACTGTTAAAAGATTAATAGTCTAGTCATTTCAAGGTCATGATTCTAAGAGTCTTGTATAGTTTTCAATTGATACCTTTTTCTGCTGGCAAGAGGTTACTTATTTCTCTGATGTTTCCCATGAAAGCATCTATTTATTATTCTTGACATGAGAAATGATTAGAAATCAATATTTAGAATGACTTCTGAGAAAAAAATTACTATTACTACAACAATAACAAAGGTGTGTAGTTTTCCCATTGTAACCTGATTATGAAAATGACTAGACATTTACTTTTTCTAAATTATCAATTTTCCCCACTGCTTCAAGAACAACTCTCTCACCTTACAAACTGTCTTACATAGAATCTTCAGAAAGTAGTCCTGCCTCAAAAGTCACCATGAGCCAAATGAGCTTACCTTTGGTTAGATTTGCTAACTAGGAAGACATATTAATACTCCCTGAAATAATTGAGATTATACCTAGAATACAATTGTGTTTTTTAAAGATTAATTCAACTGTGTAGCTGTGTGCCTTCAGAACTGTTCTTAAATGATGTATCAAGAATTGACTAATTTCTGAAATTTTCAGTTTGGCCCTTGACTGGAAGAAATTACCCTTGTTTGATATTCTTGACAGATGTACAGATTAACATCAAGCGTTGCCTTAGTGATGGATGTGACACAAGAATTCATGGTCTCAGGGCTATTGGGTACCAAAGAGTGAAAAAAGACTGTGTCTCTGTATGTGATGCTTCAGCAATCTGGTACTGGTCACTTTTGACCTCTCTGGTCACAGCATCCATGGAAACCAACCCTGCGATTGTTCATGCCATTCTGCAAAATACCCAGTAAGTTCTCTCCTCTTTTGGCATGTTAATTCTCTTTAAATCACTTCCCTGTTTTGAGTGTGAACATACCTTGTTGTATATTCCTTTATAGCATTAAAAAATAGTATTCATCCATATTCATATTGATTCACCCATCTAGAGGTTGCTCTGTAGCTTATGTTTGGAACTTTGAATGACAGCATGTAACTATCTTTAATCCAGGAATACAAAAAACTGATTTAAAATCCTAAACTATGCTAGTTTGGAACAATTTCCTTTGTTCATGCTGTCCATAGTCCCACAGTCTATAAATTTTATAAATACATGCTTCACTTTTATTAATGTAGTATAAACCTTCAAAATGAAGCAGGCAATATCTAACTGCTCTTTAAAAATACTTTGTTATTTTATGCACCATAATGAAAGTTAAAACTCCAAAACAGTTTAAAAACTGTAAGCTATTATTTTCAAAAAATAAAATTGTATAAAGTTATGTAATTAACTTAGTCACTAACTACTTTCTTCCCTGCCTCCATGGAGTGGAGGAAAAGCTGCAGGAAACCTAAAGGTATTAACTACTAGCCTAGTGGCCAAAAGATTCAAGGTCCATATACTGCTAGCCAAGGTCCATATACTACTGTAAACACTACTTTATAGATAACTATGTTGATGATCAGCCAGTTTTTAAATGTACCTTCAGGGAAATACTAAAAAGTGTACAACAGGACTGGATGGCATGGATTAAACAAATTTGATTGCAAGCTGGGATGTTTTTGTTTCTTATAGAAATTAATTTCTTTGAATTCTCTGTAGAATAAGCTCTCATGATTGAGCCTGTTATAGGGCAGGTATCCGAGTATTCATTAGCAATCTGCTTTCAGGGACCTGAATGGCTAAAACAAGCAGAGGTTGCTAAAACACAAAGTAAAAGCAAATGTAATTAAGTCCCTTGTTTCTTTGTTGCCAGATTCTTGGGCAAATATTACTCATTGTGGTGATAGGTTTGAGACAATTACTGATGGCCTGGCTTTTCTTTCTTTTCCCCTCTAGGAAGGCATTGCAACATATGCCACCTCTGTCTCTGTCTCCAGGCTCTACAGACATTTCAAGTTTCTTATCTTCCAATGTTTTGGAAGAAGTGGACAATTTTCTCCTGGGAATTACCAGGTACGGTAAGGGTTAATCTAGAATATAAAAAGGGGGAGGAGGAGGAGGATAGCAAGGTAGAATAAATTGCAAGTTTTTCAATTTTAAACTTTCTTTTTCCGTTCCAGTTACTGTGCCTCTCCAGAAGTAGAACTTACGCTGCTAGCTTTTTCTCTGGCCAGAGGGAGCCTGACCAAAGTGTTGAATTCACTTTGCACAATTGCTGGCCACTTGGAAACTGCTTATAAGGCTGCTTCTCTAATTACTTCTATGGCTACAGTCAGGCAAAACCTGCTCTACAAATATGGTAACCATCACTGGAAACTTTGGGCTTGGGGATGTTCAGTCCTCTCTGTGTTAGAATTTGGCAGATAACCTATTGTTGCGACCAGGAGTTTGTTTTGTTTCTCTGCTGGCCTTCCACAGTCCACAAACCACAGCACAGGGAGGCAGCCTATAGTCCACCTGAAGTTGTCCAGCATCTCACACATCTCTGAGATTATACTGATGAGATCCAGTAGCAAGATGGCCCATTTTATAATGTGTGGTGAAATATTTGGGAGCAAATTAAATTCCCTACAACCATGAATTAGCCATTTTTGTGCTAAGTGTCGTGAGCGTTATTTTGTGTGCCCCCCCCCCTTTTGTGTTGGGAGGTTTAAGGGTGAGAGTGAAAGAGATTTGCCTCTCAGAAGCTCTAGCCCCCTTTCCACTTTTTTCTCAAGCCCCCAAATGATTCTGATCCCACTTGAACATCTTAAGTTCTGTGCTACGCTGACTTTCATGGAGTCTAAACGATCAGGATGCTTCTGAAAAGTGACTCAGCCAAATAATTTTTTTATAATAGTAGAATTCAGTTCAATCTTTCACATGCAAATCCACATCTGATTCTCCTCCCCATTTTCCCCTAAGGTTGAGTACTTCCCACAGTATCTGTTGGGGGGGGAAAAAACAGTTATTTACCTCCCTTTTGTTTTACTCAGTTTAACACCTTGCTATATGAACATACAGGTACTTCTCAACTTACAACAGTTTGTTTAGTGACCATTCCCAGTTAAATGGAAGAATAAATTTTAAGTTTTTCTTTCAACCACATACTTCTGCTTGTAAATGTTGGACCTGGAGTCATCCGTGTGAACTTAAGCTGAAATAGTAGAGGTTATTCTGAGTTATTCTCATCCCACTCTGTTCAGTTAGACTCAGTTGGGCAGCCTGTATCTCTTCATAAAGCTTCTCTGCTTTTTCCAGGAACAGCCCTGCAGCTAACTCTGCAAGCTTGTGATGTCAAAGGGAAGGAAGACAAATCAGGACCTGAAAATATGCTCGTGGAACCATGGACAGGAGATGGTAAGGGCCTCCTTTGATTCTCATTTTCAACTCAATAAAAACATATCCATCTTGCTTTTCTGCCTCAGATATTAAAGAGCCATACAATTAAACAGTAATTTAGAATATTAAAAACCCAATAAACAGAAAAGAGCAATGATGTCAGACAATACAAATGTGTGACATATATGACTTCGCAAGACAGCCATCAACATGGTAGAAAGTGGTTTAAACTTATCATGAACTAGTATGGTGGTAAAAGCTTCCAATTTGAATTGAGGCTGGAAACAAAAGCAATATGCCAAATAACAGGAATTTTTTTAGCATTTTCTCAGACATGTTATGAACAACCAAAAGCTTTTAGATGTTCAGAGCCAACTCCATATTCAGCATATTGCAATAAAACTGGGCATGTGTAACAGTGGCTTGAAATACAAGTACTCCCCTGTTAACAACAGCAATTGGGACTGGAATTTCCATCACTAAGTGACGCAATCATAAAGCACAACTGCACATGACCATGCTGCTTAGTGACAGCAATTATACAACTTCCAATTGCTGCTGTTAGGCAATTCTTGCAATATCACATAGCTGCCATTTACAACCTCCTACTGGTTTCCCCCATTAATTTTGCTTGTTGAAAGCAAGCAGTCAAGGTCAAAAATGGTTATCACATGACCATAAGACACTTGTGATGTTGTAAATGTGAGCCAGTTACCGAGCACCGAGATTGTGATGACATTACATATGTCCACCCAGAACTTCGAGGACCGATCATAAGTATCACTTGTTCAGTGCTGTTGTAAGGTTGAATAGTCACTGAATGAGTGGTCATTAAGTGAGTACCATCCCTGCATTTTATACACTAGCCAGCCATCAGGAGTAAAGCAAGTTCCAAGAGCACACTCCAATTGCGAACTTAATTCTTAGACACAGTTAAGTTTTAATTAATGTGCACACCAATTGCATAGTCTCAAACGAACATGTATCAATGTGGAAAAGTTTGTTCTGAATATTCCAGATATTCTGCTTTATCCAAAGGCTTTCTGACAGAGACCGGAAAAAGACAGGCCAGCATCATTCTCTCAACTGGGACAGAATCAGCCTTCCAGGTCACACAAATCAGAATCAAGGTCTGAATGTGCTTCTCAAATATTCTTTGTGAATCTCTTTGTTTTGCTTTTTAATTGCATGGTCTTTATCAGTAAGATAAAGTTTTGCTAATTTAACTTCTTGTAAGCTTTAAGGTTTAGTCTGATATTAAAAAATGGGGGAAACAAGTTTGTAGAACGTATATATCAAACAATAAAATATTAACAATAGCAGTAGGGAACCCATAATAATAATATTTTGTTTAAGAATTGAAATGGAAACGGGCTGGTCACATAGCAAGAAGAACTGGTGGTAGGTGGACCAAGGCAGTCATAGAATGGATCCCACTTGATAAAAAGCGTCCAAGAAAGAGACATAAAACAAGATGGATCTGACAACACCAGCAAGTATTGTGGGCCCAATTGTCAAAAGAAAGCTCAGGACCGTATTGGTTGGGGACATGCGGAAGAGGCCTTCATCCTGTAGTAGATAGACAATGGCTGAAATGAGGATGAGGATTATGAAATTAACAAGCAGTGAATATCTGTATCCTCTACTTTTATGAATGAGTCAGATAATGCATCAAATCAATTTGAAAGTTCAGAAGAGTATTATTTATGTTGAATAAGATTATATGGAGCTTATGTGAGCTAATCTCAGAAGAGTCATTTAATTTTTCTCCTCTTGGTTTGTGCAATGCTAAACATGCTTTTTTCCCCTGATAGGTGCGAAGAGGAGCAATTGGAGCCCGATGTGGACTGGTATTTGCTTACAATTCCTCTTCAGATAAATTTCATGCAGATAAGCATTTCAAAAGATTCGAGAGCTATGACAAATGGAAACTAGAGGATTTCCGACACTTCCTAAAAACAAGGTACGTATAAAACAAATGTGCCTCATTCACATATTATGTTAAACTGCCTTTTATTAAGTTAGCCTATAAGCTTCTTTCATTGACAGTAACTCCCCAGGAGCTCAGTAGACAAAAGCCTTGCCTATCACTGCTTGCTTGCTCTTTTTAACTGAAAAGACCGACAACTGGGACTTTCTATGCAGGCTCTTTGACTTGTGACATTTCCCTGAAAACTAAGCATGACAGTCTGTTGGGACAGAAGACACAATCCCCACAGTCAATTCCAGTTTAAAGTGACCAATTGATCCACAAGATCATTTCTGTGATGACCAGGGTGTGGCACAAAAGCAACACAGCCAGAGAACAGGTCTAACTCCCCTTTATTGTTCCAGCTTTGCCCCCAAACGTCCCCACATTTACTACAAGTCCTGTAGCAAAGCTCTCACACGCACCTTCAAAAGCCTCTGGCTGCTAGTAGTCCAATAAGCCAGGCTAGCCCAAACAGTAACCAGAGCAAGAAGTTCAGTGAAGCAGGCAAACTGGGCAATCCCCACAAGACAGAGCACAGTAATCTCCAGGCGTTGGCAAGTGCACACGAGGCTCCACAGATTCAACGCTTGTTCCCAACAAATGCTCCTCCCACCAGCACCTCCTTACATCTGTCCCCAGGTGTGCCTTGTGAAGGGGGGTGGGGCACTCTCCTCCCTCGTTGCCTGCTCAGTCTGCATTGTTCTCGCCTTCTCTCTCTGCTCTAGGATCAGGAGGAGATGGTCCTTGCTCTTCGCCTGAGCTCTATCTCTCCTGCGGCTCCTTGTCTACAAGCCTTTCTAATCCTGAAAAGCTCTGCCTGGACTGGCTGTGCCCTTCCCCAGTTTCCTCCAAGGCCAATGGAGCCACCCTCTCATCTCTGTCGGCTCTTGTTCCAGCTTATCTTCCCCCTGGCCCCGTGCTTCTTGTCATGCTGCACAAATCATGCTAAAAAGGAATGATAAGCATGAATATCTTTGCCTTAAAAAAATACAGGTTGTCCTTGATTTACAACTACAGTTTGAACCAGAATTTCCATTGCTTAAACAAGGTGGTTGTTAAGCGAGTCGTGCCTGATTTTTATGACTTTTTTGCCACGATTGCTAAGTGAGTCACTGTAGTTGTTAAATGAATCACAAGGCTGTTTGGTGAATTTGGCTCCCCCCTCCCCCAATTGTCATCGTTTGTTGGAAGCTGTCTGGGAAGGCTGCAAGTAGTGATCACATGAACCCAGAACGCTGCAACCGTCGTTAAATAGGTGCTGGTTGCTAAGTGGCCAAATTTTAATCAAGCGATTGTGGGGATGCTGCAGTGGTCATAGGTTCAAGGACCAGTTGTAAGTCATTTTTTTTTTAGTGGTCTTGTAACTTTGGTCACTAAACAGACAGTTGTAAGTCGAGACCCTTACGATGTGAAAGGATCAGGACCTGTTTGAATAATCCCAAAATGCTGGATATGGAAGAATGGATTTTAGTTATTACTGCAACTGAATATTAGAAAATTCTTGCTAAAAGTAAAAGCAATGTGACAGTGGAACCCATTACGCAGCAAACTGGTGGGCTTTCACAGAATTTGTTCAAGACAAAATAGAAATTAGTTGCAGATGAGTTAGTTTGGATTTCCTCACTGAGCAGGAGGTTGGGCACACCTTGCTGTCATCTTCCTTAGTGCAGCAATGCTTTTGGATTATTCAGCCAGTCTTTCCGTTCCTTTGAATCTTCCCCAGAAAAAGAAGCTTGGTATTGGGAACCCTTTATTCTAGCCCTCTGGAGGTAAGTGGTACTTTTTATAAAGTACAAGTATTATTTTTTTTATGCTGCCTGTTTTCCAGAAGTAGCACTCTATGTGATGAACTTGGAGAGGAAGATCCTGTTGGATGGTTTGAAATGGAAGAGGAATGGGATGAAGTAGAAGTCAAAATGCAGCAGTGTAGAATATCTAAGGTAAAACAGACGCACTGTCTTTTTGTCTATGGATATGCATGGCGTCTTTCCTCTGAAAGCTGAAGATGACTTGTGTGAGGATATCCCTTCATTTTTATCTTCACAACAGAAACTCGGCCTAGAGAGAGTAACTGGCCCAAAGTCACCCGGTGCTTTCTTAGAATTAAGGAAAGTACACTGTATCATACTGTCTCTCATTGTATCATATATCCAGACATAAAAGAATAATCTATTACGTAATGGGTTCAGTGGTGGTTCAGTGAGATGCATACAACTTTTTGGTTGGACTTACTAGCCAAACCAAAACTCTTGGAGGTCAAGCAAACAGAAAAACATACTGGTTTGAATATTATTAAATACCTCCAATGTTTCCAGTCTTATAGCTGGAAACTTAATCCTACTTTATAGCAGGAAAGACTGGTGTCTGGTATGGTATGGTGTGCTGTGCTGTAGATAGAGAGTATTAATGTGCTGTTTGGTCCTACATGGGGGAAGGGAGAGCACAGAGATTGCCAGGCACATTCCAGGAAGATCTTTGGCCACCTCAGCAGTGTGATCTTGGCTTCCTTGTTCAGATGATTTAATAAACAAACCACAGGATATGTGTCTGTAGTTCGCTACATCCATTGTCAGAAGGAGCCAAATGGGTCGATGCTTCAGTTCATTCCTTGTTCCTAGTTAATCCTAAATCCTGGCTAACTTTGTCTATCCATATTAAATGAATGTGGTCTATATCTCAACTTCGTTATTAGGCATTGCTCGGAAGGACTGTACCAAGATTGAGTCTTTATGTAGTAGTTCTGTTTCAGTTGTGCAGAAATAGAAAGTGGAAACTGGAAGACTGGGTTGTACTCTTCTCATAGTTGTGAAAGGTGGCAGGGTAGCTTTGGACCACAACTTTCTTTTCACCCAACCCACTTCGCTAAATTGTCATTATAGGAAAAGTAAGAGGTGGAAGCATTTTCTGCACCTTCTAGAGCAGGGGTCTTCAAACTTAGCAACTTAAAGACTTGTGGGCTATGCTGGCTGGGGAATTCTGGGAGTTGAAGTCCAGAAGTCTTAAAAGTTGCCAAGTTTGGAGATGCCTGTTCTAGAGTTATTCAGAAATAAAGGTAGGGTACTAATCTAATAAATACATGAATTATATATCAGGCTTAATGGAGGAAGGTACATTAATTTGCAGTTAGATATCTCAGTCACATCGAGCTAAAGGCAGCATTACAAACAGCAGCATTCTATGGTTGCTTTTTAATTTTTCCATTGTTATCCCAATTTGGTGACTGTTATTCTGTGCAAATTTGAACTGTTTGTATTAGGGACTGTTGTATTCTTGCTGTTAATAGAGTAAATCTATATATATTTGATCATAACAAAGTATAGCTTTAAAGCAGAGTTGTAATCTGGGGGCGCAAATGTTCTATTAGCTTCTCTTATATCTGTCCTTGCCTCACACACATTGTGGGTGGTCCCAGAATTCAGCCTTTTTTGTTGTTTTTCAGGGTTTTGGATAGCAATTTAAGGAGCAAAATGTAATTATTGCAAAGTTTTAAGATATTTAAAGCCCTAATGATTGCCCTCCCTAAAATGCATCCTTATCCTGCATTCTTTTGCATTAAGTGCCTTGATCTAATGATAATTGCACATTCCTGGTCTAATGTAAAAAGTCACACACTATTTTAGATGTGTGCTAAATGCTGCAACAGGCATTGTGTTAAAGGCATTGCCCCCAACAGGAAAGAAGCTGTTCTGTAATGACCCGAATCAAACATTTTAGTCTTATGGATTCAGAACTCATATGTTGATGTTAAAAGAACTGAAAATGGATCAAACAGCACAGCTAACCATATTTCTTAGCAGGATTGTGCTTGTAAATCTTAGTGTGAAATGATTTAGTCTTTTTTTAATGAAAATTGTTTAGACTCATGTTAGTTTTCTGTTCTTTTCTAGTACTTGATGATAAAGTTCTTATGCACCAGGCAAGAGAAAGCTGAACGACTCGGAGTACAAGGCTTAAGTGTCTTTGGTTATATTCGGTCAGCATCTGAAGAACCTAGCAGAAACAAAATCTGTAGGGAATGTGACAAACTAAATGGTGATACCGTTTGTGGGATGACTCTTCTTCTAAAAACTCTGTCCTTCATTCAACAACTTGCACAAGACTTGGTATGTGGCATTCTGTTCATTGTAACTTCTCTTCTGTAGAGTGTTTTGTAAAGACACATTGACGACAAGTTTTAATAAGCTCTTAAAAACAAAGGATCTTGTCAAGAACGACAATATAAAAGGATGCAAAATTTCAATAAAACCCATTCTGTATGGAATTCAGTTATGCAGAGGAATTATCAAAGGATTAACCAGAGTCAGATTGCATTCTCTTCAGAATGCAGATTTGCAATTTGAGGCATTTTTATTTGACCAGTTGCATTTAAATATCTGAGTTTCTTCCATCATAGCTGGGTGTGGCAGTGGGGTCTATGGTTAGAAAGATGATCTAGAATGATAATGCAGCTCCTAATGACATCCAGTCTATAGTATCCTAACACTTTGAATATACTTCAAAAGTAGTCAATAACTAGATGGTATAGCTAAGGTAATAACAAGTACATGATTATATGGCCCATTTCAGACTTTCAGATGTATTATGCAATTAGTATTCAGGGATTGGATTCCATTTCAGCAAATAGCAGATCATCAAGTGCATGATGCAAAATCAGTTCCCGCTCATTCTATTTAAAAGCTGCGCTTCTTGTCCCAACAAAATCTATTTCAAATCAAATTCTTTTCCATTTTATTATTTAGTAATTCCTCTTATAGGTTAAGAAGAAGGAAAGTGGTCAACGGTATAAATCGTATCTGGACTTCACAGGCCTGGATTTAAAGCTTTTCTGGAATTTTTATAGTAAACTTCACCAAAAGTAGGTCCCTTTCCACTATATTAAACAAAAATCGGTATAGTTAGTTGAATGTTGGGTTATCATTGTGGTGGTTATCAATAGTGAACAAAACCTTCAGCTTTGGTCTATTGTCAAATACATGAGTACAATCACACTGTCCTGTTGGGTGTAACAAATCAGCAGATTGGAAGATGTGAAACTGGTAAGTTATAATAAACGATAAACCACATTTGTAATTATCAGCAGGCACAATGCTGTTGTTAAAAGGAAATCAATATACAGTTGAAAAAAATAAAAATCTAAAGCAAGTATTGCATTTTCCAGAATTCAGGGCCTTCCAGTGGCATTTATTAACTCCCACAAACATGTGTTATAAAGACTTTCTACTGATTGGCATATAGGAAGTTAAACAACATAAGGTTCTAGGCTTGGTTATGTATTTAGGGAAAGCTTTTTAAACTCTGAATTACTGTCTTAACTATTGTTTCATGACAATTGTTTTGCGGCTTCTCCTTGTAGTCCAAGAGAAGAATGCATTGATGCCCAGGCCGTGCTCTTACAGCTTCTTCAGAGTTGTTTCTCAATGCTTACATCAGATCCCAAGGCTGCAAAGACTGAGAAAGCTGCTCAGAAAACAACTCTTGAAAGTACAGAAGCAGCAGAAGAACTTTATAAACATTTGTGTGAAGGTGATTATTCCTATCTTTCACTGCAACCCATGGATTCCATGTAGTTGCAGCTTCTTCCTTTAATACAATAATGTGAGGTATTTATAGAGCAGGGTGGCTGGCAATTCTTCAAGGAGTTATGGAAAGGAAATGCAATTGCTATGAAATTCCTGGTAACAAGAATCTCATACTGATTCTTGATTCCATGACAGATTCCTAACCTCAGATCCCAAGATGACTGGCACTTGGAGTTGAGTTAGCTTTCTGCTGGGGAAGGAGAAAAACTAACTGTACCTGAAGTTCACCTATTTATAGTCTCCCCGCTAGCTTCTTATTGTGGCCAGTTCCTTCTTAACTCACAGATTTTTTTTTAAAAAAAGCAGGGACCTTGTGCATAAGAATATCTGTTAATCTTTATTTAAATTTCTATTTAATCTCCTATTTGTTGGAGCCCAAGCCTCATTTCATACAGGTTGAATCCTAAGCCACTTCATATTAGCTATTTTCTGCTGGGGTGGGAGTTGTCGTCTTCCAGCCTGGCTATTACAAATTGGTACAGCTGCTGAAATTGTTACATACTAATTGTAGACTGTAATTTATCCTCCCAAAACAAAGATACCCTTAATTGGTATCTTCTTGGTGGGTCTTAAAGAAATAGAGGAAATACAGATAGTCCTTGACTTAATAACAGTTCATTTAATGACTGTTCAAGTACAATAGCACTGAAAAAAGTGACTTGTGACTGTTTTTCACACTCATGACTGTTGTAGCATCCCCATGGTCACATGATCAAAATTAAAACACTTGGCAACTGGCTCATATTTATGATGGTTGTAATATCCCAGGATCACGTGATCCTCTTTTGCAACTTTCTGACAAGCAAATTCCATGGGGAAATCCAGACTCACCTATCAACTGTGTGTTACTAACTTAACAACTTCAGTGATTCGCTTAACAACTGTGGCAAGAAAGATTGTAAAGTGAGGCAAAACTCACCGAACAACTGCTTCACTTAGCAACATAAATTTTGGGCTCAATGGTGGTCGTAAGTCTAGGAATATCTGTATGAGATGAGATTATAATAGAAGTTAGAATAAAAATAGCAGGAAAAGGAATTGGAGTTCAAAATGGTTTATTAGGCCAGCATATTTTTATCTTTTTTAACACACAGTTGTTAACAGTGACAGTGAGTCCACACCGCTGAAGACTCTGAAGCAGGAAGTGACTAACACATTACTGAATGGAGCGGCCATCTTTTTCCCCCAGAGACATACCAGGCGGGAGCAGCTCTTTGCAATGCTGGTATGTTGTGTAGATCAGTGAAATGTAGCTTTTGTTGTATCTGTTACTTAAAAGTACTTTTTAAGATTAGATTCTTTAGATGCATGCATCTTCTGTCCAATCTACCTCAACTTTCCTACCAGAAACACGTTTTTATTAGTTGTAATATTTATTAACTCTATTTTATCTTGTACATGTTCATTGTAAATAACGTTATCTAGATTCCATCCCTGCCATTTTGCATCTACCCGACAATCCTTTGAGGCTTATTTTTTCTGTTGCCAAAACTTTATGCTTGTGAGATTTATTTTTAAAAGAGCCTTTTCTATTCTACAGAATAATATTACAGAGCAGAAACACAATCCATCTGCGCAACTTACTTTCAAATCGCTTTGTGCTTATTTTAGGTAAGCAAGCTAATCTTTGCATTTCTTGACTGAATTATCTCATTGGCATTTTTTTTTAAACATTTTTATATCTGGCATTTTGTGGTATGAACCTGCAGATCATCAGAATGAGATTGCTGACTTGGGAAACAAAAAAATAGATACGGTTAATATAGGAACTTCATCTGAATTACTTAAAAAGATAAACTGTGGCCATAAGGATTGAAAAATACATGGCTCTATTTTAAAACCTGCAGCCATTCATATGTTTGTTATATTTGTTGTTTGTTCCTATAGCATCTTCATTATTTTTACAAATAACACAAGGTGGCGAACATATTCAGCACACTTTCCTCCTCCTATTGTCCCCACAACAACAACCCTATGATGTAAGTTGGGTTGAGAGAGAATGACTAACCCGAGGTCACTCAGCTAGCTTTCATGGCTAAGACGAGTCTTGAACTCACGTACTCTTACTTTCTAGCCTAGTGTGATAACCACTGGACCAAATTGGCTGAATGATAGATCCTAGTATCCACTTTTATTGCTCATGCTAGCAGGGGTGGCTGACGTTGAATTCTGCATTATCTGGAGCAGTTTTTCTCAAACTTGGCAATTTCCAAGTGTGTGCACTTCTACTCCTAGAATTCCATGGCCATTGATAAAAATTCTGGCCATTGAAATACATATGCCTGGAAGTGGCCATGGTTGGGGAATACTGATCTAAAGATTAACCAGTTGCCAATTCCAATTGTTGAAAATGGATGTTCCATCTAGAGCAGGGGTCTCCAACCTTGGCAACTTTAAGACTTGTGGACTTCAACTCTAAGAGTTCCTCATCCAGCAAAGCTCTTTCATTTAAAATTATATTTAATTATAATCAAACATATTTGGAAGAACTGTGACCCTGCTCTAGAGTGTTTGGTAATTAACACTACATTATGATGGAAATGTTCTTTGCCAGTGATCAGGATCCAGGAGGACTTCTGCTATTACCAGATAAAGGAACTTCTGCAGATGTTGATGTTACTCAAGTGCTAACAGTGATGAAGACTCTCCTGATGGTGATGTCAAAAGAGGTTGTAGTTTTTAAAAATGTTTTTCCCATATGGAAGTGATAATTTATATATTATTTCTGGGAAGTCTGTGAAAGCTACTTCTGACAACATGTTCCAATAGTTACAGAACAGGTGTATCAGGTTTTTTTTCCAATAAATACTCTTAAGGTGACAATATTGATTGAATTTGCAAAAAATTACTGGCATATTTAATTACCAATAAAGCTGGATTTTTGTTGGTCATAACCAAAGCTGAACATAAATTTTGTATGTTTTTAGTAATAAGCTCTTTTTAATATAATAGCCCTATTTTACAGCATTTTTAAATTAAACAATCGGTTGCAGATTGTGAAGTTATGGTGAAGTAAGGATGCCTATTTTTTGGGGGTGAAGTGTTACATTTGATATTTCAGATCTGCATTAAGCATTGCCCTTCCCAAAACAGGAGAAAGAACCAGCAGAAAACTGATTTTGTTTCATTTAAAATTATATTTAATTATAATTAAACGTATTTAAAAGAACTATGACCAAGTTGAAATGGTGGCTAGCTGGCCAACAAACTGTTTCATTTTGATTTCTGATAGGAAATCAAGTTAAACGTAATGATTCAATGCTGTTTCACAGATTTTTAAAAAAAATCCAAATAGCCACATCCAGTTTACTTATATGATGTTATCCCACCCACTTTATGATCCTCGATCCCTTCATCTCAGTCAGATTTGACTATTGACTGCCAAAAGATTGTCTACCTTGCTTAATTATTCTTGACACTTAAGACTTAAAAAGTGCAGTTTCTGTTATGTTATGCATTTAAAAATAATAAGTGGGGGGGGAAATGTGATGTTGAATATCAATTCCTCCAGTTAGTTCTAATTCAGGGGTGGCAGCTCACAGGGAAATAACCTCTAAGACTTCATTTGCACCTGGCATACTCTTTGAGAAAATGGGACTGAAATTTTTGGATACAGATTTCTTGTTGGGGACGACCTTAAGGGATTGAAATTATATCCCTTAAAAACCCTGGAATCCTTCCCCAAATCAATCTGAGAGGTGCTAATTTTGAGGCAAGGATTAAAGGGCAGGCAATATTAAAGCACTGGCTGTGTTTCTTAAACTCTCTAAAACCTCAGGAAGCAGGGGAAAGTATCTGAAAAGCATCTATCTGCTCATTGGTTCCATACCTCTTCTGATCCCCAAGTAGAAAATGTGATCACTCTCAGGCCAAGAAAAGGGCGTGCATTTTATTCTAGTTGCTTAATTTTTAGTTTTTATTTCTAACAACTTTGTAACTTAACTGATTTTCCCCCAGTGTGAAATGTTGATGAAGGACGTTGTCTTGCAAGATACTGGCCCGGTTCTCTCATCCTTATTCTGGTCAGTACAGGGTAGCCTCCTGTCTTGGTGTTACTTGCAACTTAAAGGCAGTGATGCAGCATCTAAACGTCTTGCCAAAGAAATCCTTACAAAATGTGAGTAATGTATCTGAGGTAATAATCATAAGTAGTTACCAACAATTTAGGCTATCCTTACCTAAAGCGACGTACGTGTCAGTCTGTTTATAAATGTGGAGAGATGTAATCCAATATAGTTAGTGGGCACTCAGTGACAGAATCTTGTTGCTGATATTTCCTTTAACTGTTGCCTTGTTCTCTTTTTCTATCTAGATGTGCAACAGTTCCTGTCAAATATTAAGACAATTTTAGATTCTCTCCTATCTCAATACAATGTGAAAACCACTGTGGAAAAATTAAGCAACTCTGTTTTTGCCATGGTAGTTCGTCAGCTGGTGAGTGAGCTGAATGAGTTCCTACAGCACTTGCTTATTTTCAGTTTGGTGCCTCTTTGTAAGTGTTAACATCAGATGCGTTATGTGTTCCCTAGATGATCTTTCTGCAGGATTTCTGCATTTTAGACATCCCCCATGGGAGCCTCCTGCAAGATGTTGGCACATTGACAAAATTATTGAATGATCTGTCTGCAGAGCCTGAAAATTGTCCAAATAAGGTAACCTGAGAGGAAAAAAATACAAATGCTTAACAATATTTCATTTTTAACTAAATGCCGGTATTGTAATACAGTACCAACACTGTGGATAAGAAGTCATAGTGAAGCTCTTAAGTAGATTGCAGGCTTCTGGGTACTTAGGAAATTCTTATCTTCAGTTGGAACACATTCTTCTGGTATCTCAGCTTTTTGGTTACCTGTTCTATTCCAGGATCTGTTGCAAAATGCTGATAGGCTGTTAAAAGATTTTAAGACTAAGAAAATATGTGGAGTACATTCCTGGGAGTTCAGAGAGATAACCTGAGATTCTGGGACACGTGTGAGGTAGTGGCTCATATGTTAAATAAGGAGTGACAGACCCAGTTTCTAGTTTATTCTGAATCAGAATCTCCTTGGGCCAGTCAGGCTTTTTTTTCTTCAGTTCAACCTACCTCATGCTAATATTATATTGGGGAAAAATAGGAAGAGTGAGTACTTCGTAAACTTTACCAAGCTCTGAATGAAAAGATAGTATCCAAAAAAAATAAGTATCTATTGTAGCTGGAATAGCACTTGAAAACTCTGATTTTATTCAGTCATTAAATTAATCTTAGCTCTGTACTGCTCTATTTTTACAACTATGCTACTTGTAGCTGACATTTCTCTGTCCTGCTTAAAGCATGTTCCAAAATCTGTAAAGCATTACAGAGGCTTCACTTGAATCACAGATTTCTAGCCTCTGATATATGAAGATCTGTTGTTAACCAGGTTAGGAAAATCCAATTTTGAAAGTCAGATACAGCTTTTAAATTAAAGAAACAGATCCCTGAGTGAGCAGGCCCATAGCTACCAGACAAGTCAGGATCTAAAGTGAGGGTCTGGATTAATTTTCCATGCCACTGCATAAGTGGTCACAATTGTTTTTCAGAGAGGTTAACTAATATCTGCTCCTCCTCTGTGGTTTTATTTGTGTCAGATGGGTATAGAAAGCTGGCAGCAGGAGCAGCCAGTGGTACTACGAACATGGACAACAGAATCTCCCCATAACTATGATAACAACTGCCATGATGTTACTGTCTTCCTGTGCCCAGGAGCAACTTCCTTTGAAGTTGAGTTTGATGAAAGATGTGAAACAGAGCGGAGGCAAGTTGATCAATCCTGTATTAACATTTTTTGGTTATTATTTCCTTTTGGCCTTATTAGCTATGTTCTTAAAGCTACTGAAAAAAAGAGGTGGTTCTTAGATTGTTTAGGTAATACCAGTCCTAGGACTCTGCTTCTTCAAGAGTCAGAAATTTTAAATCTAGAACCAAATGTAAGAAGACAAGTGGATGGTTTTGAACGATAACATTTGTCTCACATGTTAAAACTTCTCTCATCAAGTCCTTTACTGCTAATGTTTGCCACTCAAGGAAATATATTGTGGTAATCAGTTTCTTGTAGGGATTGCAGTTTATTGCATTCAGATGATCACACTAGTAGTAAGTGGCATCTTCAATTTAATCTAGTTAAAAACTGAGATATTGACTAGGGTGTAAAGCAAGGGTCTTCAAACTTGGCAAATTTAAGACTTGTGGACTTCAACTCTCAGAATTCCTGAGCTAACATGACTGGAGAAGGAATTCTGGGAGTTGAAGTCCACAAATCTTAAAGCTGTCAAGTTTAAAGACCTGTTGTAGAGGGAGGAGGGAATGGCCTTGAAGAACAGGAGGAAGAGCTGCTACTAGGCAATGTCTATGGAAGTTCTCAATCATCCAAGTCATGGTTGTCCCAAAGGTGCTTTTTCAAAAGGCAACTGGGCTTTCTTGATTTTTTTCCTTGAAAATGTTTCTCTTGTCCTCCAAGAAGCTAAATGCTTTCAAGGAAAAAAACAACAACCAAGAAAGGCCAGTTGCTTTTGAAAGCATCTTTGGGACTACCAAGGCAATGGTCAAATAAAAGAGACCTGAGCCCAGGCCAAGAATAAAACACGAGGAAACATCTCAGACAAGTGTCCTCTGTAACTCCAAGATCACTTCCTAATTTGGAAAAAAAAAAAAAAACCAGAACGCACTTGGTAACTTTTCATGGGGAGAGTGGGCTTTCTGCTGTCCTGCTACTGGAGCCTTCTGCTTGCTATGTAACTCCCTTCTCCATTATCAACTTTCTGTTTTCCTTCAGCATCATAATGGACCTTGGGTGGCCAATAGCCATAATAAAAAAAATTGTCTTGTGGCTCAGTTGCATGTCTTATTTTCCAGATTAATCACAGGGTGCCAAAATTAGCCCATTTAAGACTTGTCCTTTTAATTTGTTCAAAAACATTGTAGGTATGATTATCTGGAATTTACTGATGCCAAAGGAGCCAAAACTCGCTATGATACCAAAGTTGGCACAGATAAGTGGCCTAAGGTGAGTAATCTCCAGATTCTAAGCGAGAAATTCATATTGATGATGATCATATCCCTGATATCTGATCTTGACTTGTTCTTCTGACCTGTTAACACCTACAAAAATCTGGCTGTTTTATTGTTCTGTAGAAAGTGACCTTCAAAACTGGTCCTCGGTTGCAGTTTCTTTTTTACTCTGATAGCAGTAATAATGAGTGGGGCTACAAATTCTCTGTCACAGCCTATGGATTGCCTGATGTTGACATTTCTTGGGTCCTGGATTTGCATCTTCTTGTGGCCAAGTTAATGGGGCGCCTCGCCTCACAGAGTATGGTGTTAAAATCTTCACAAGGTGAGTAATTTATAGTTTAAATGTCTTCATTTTCAAATTCTTGATGCTTTTATAGATGGGACATGGATGTGATATGATACAGCTGAAAACTACTGCTGGCTTGGCATTTTTTATTTTCAAAGTTTATTTTTAAAATGCCTATACATTTAAGAGACAGTGGAAGAAAAGCTAAGCAATGTGCTTTAAAACAAATACTCAGCATCAAAGCTGAATTTGTCATTTGTTTAAATTCATTTAGAATTTCTGTGTTTCCATATCTCACCCACTCATTTATCCTCAAAGGATTATCTTGTCTGAAGTGATGTGCATCTCCCTCTCCCATCCCCTCCTTCCCTTCCTCCCTCTCTGAGTTGTAAGCCGTGCTTGGGGACTTCCTCCTGACAAAAAAGGAACAGATAATAATTTTGCTACAAAGTGGATTAGAATAGGGATATCTATCCTCTGGTGCTTTACTTTACTTTAGCCAGTATAGTTCCCCAAAGAAGTATTGGTCTATCAGGAAATCCAAGATCCAACAAAAAGAACACCATAACCTATGGCAACACTGAATGCATATATTGAAAGTCTCAGAAGGAATGGGAGCAAGGGTGCAAAGAGTGCCAATTTCAAAAAGTTTATATGTATTGGCTGGCTTTTATAGTGAATTTAGTTTTCATTTTTTACTTTGTAGAAATCTTTGTAAATATAGATTACAAACTATAATCTTAAAATATATTAAATTTGATGAAGCTTCTTCTAATCTAACTTAGTGTTTATTCTCTTCAGGAGTAGAAAGTGAAATAGAATTGCCTCCCACAGAAGCAACAGCTGTTCTTAACTCTCCTTTATGGAAACCTGTCTTCAGGCATCGGATGCGTTCTGAGCAAATGCCAGTAGACAGAAAACAAAGCCAAACTCAACAGGAAAATAAAAAGGTATTAAGGTTGGCGACTTACACTTACTTAGTAACACCAATTCAGAGAGCCTTTTGATCATTTCCCCCCCATCTTTTCTGATAGCTGTTTTATCATTCAGGGACTGGAATGCTGTGCCACAATTCTGTATCAGATAGAGTTTGGATTAAAAGTATGTTTAACATCTGTCTGGGAGCAACTGTAATTAGGCTAGATTTCATTCGTGGCAGTGGGAGGAATCTCCTTTTTTTCTACCCTAATTTTAGAATTTCTTCAGAGTTCATGTTCAGTTGTCATGTAATCTTTGTTTTTGTGGATATTCTTTTACTTCCTTGCCTGGAATATGTATTAGCCTAATACAATAGAGTGCTGAACTATAAATCAAACCAAGGATTTATTTATACAGTATAGAATTTAAAATTATAGGATTTTTATAAGAAATTTACCCACAATGCAAAGAGTGCTGAGATCATACAGACTTATCAGGGTTTTATTTTCTTTAATAAATTGGCATTGTTACTGATACTTGAATAACTTAGTTGAAATCTTGGCTAGTTTGTTGATTTTTCCTTCTCATGGTAAAGCCAACCATCCGCAAACCCCATAACCAGGATATAACACTGCAGCTTTCTAATTCCATTTCAGTTAGGGAAGTAGAAAATGGATTTTTAAGATTAATGGTCCTGTTTTTAAATCTAAATAGGATATCTTCTTTTTTTGAATTTCTTAAAATTATTTTTACTGCATCTAAGTTAAGTTTTTATTCAAACTGATTAAAAGTTTTTATGACATTATTTGTTTTAATGTTCACGTTGCAATTGGATCTTACAATGCTTATAGAATTAATCTTTAGGAACGTAGAGTTGGGTTGAAATAGAAGTTAATGCCGGTATCTCTTCTGATGTTCTTTTTTAGGCAGTCAACTCAGATGCCAACTGCTGCCATAATTTTCTCCTTGAGTTCTCAAAGTCAGACCCTACCCAGGAGTTCGGTGGGCCAAATTCTGAACTTTTCAAAGGACTCTTACAGGCATGTAATAAACAGGCTCCAAAGACAGATATAGTTGCTGGTTCCACTATCGATCAAGCTGTCCAATCTACATTTGCTGCTTTGGTGTATCTCTCTCCAGATTTGTATGGGAAGCTGCAAAAATATGGTAACTTCTACATTAGTGAATATATATTCATAACAAAAACTGCTGCTCTTATTACATAGCAGCCTTCTGTGGCATGATGTTCTCCACATGTGCTGGATGACAGTGAACATTCAGAGGTTGTGGCAGCTGGAGGATTATGGGAACTGTAGACTACCAAATTAACAGGTCATCAGGATGAGAAAGTTGTTATTTAAAATTCACCAGAAAAGTACAGCTTGCATGTTTTTTCAAATAATATTTGATCTTGACATACATCACTTTATATACAAGGAAAACCTGAAGCATTAGGCTTCAGAAATCAGTAGTGTTACCGGCAGGGAAAGGTGTACACAAATTAAATTTTCCTAGGAAGTTTAGTATGGGAAACCACTCTTTTGAACATTCTCCTCTGAAGAATGTTTTGAGATATGTTTAATTTCCAAGACACCATAATGGGGTATCATATTTGATTGGGGTACATTTGCAAGGTTACTTTGTGATTCTTCTACCTCAAAAGATGGGAGACCTTTTGATACCTTGGTTGATCCTAATTGTCCTGATCTTAGAAAGACGGGTGTTGGGTTGTAATACATCATTCTGGTCCTTGATGTAATAAGATGAAAGGGGAAGACATGTATTCCTGAAAATACTGTAAAGTCGTAGACCAAGATGGTTGGGAATTCTGGAAGTGGTAGAAAGGTCAGTTCACTATTTTTCCTCAGCAAAGCTTTGCCACCTCTTTAAGAAAGATCTAGAAAGATTTTGCACCTTGTATGAAGGATGTGCCTTGTTCTTTGACTGATTTAGACTAAAAGGATCTGTCATCTTAACTCCATCTTTTTGTCCTTGCAGTGAATAGTGGTGGCAAATCTCCTTTAAGTGAAGAATTTGCACAAGTATATTTGCTGGCAGATGGGATCAGAATATGGATGGTAAGATGTCTGCTAAGTGTTATCATATATTCGTCATTTACTAAGTGGGTCACAGAGTTGATCTGTTTCGGAGCTGTTCAGAATTGGTCAGATGTTGATTAAATGCTTGAGTATCTCTAATGCTCTGCTTGATCAGTTACCAACTTTTATGGGGCAATTAATCCTGCAAAACTCATTTCTCATGGAATTGATCAATGTCTGTGCAGATTGTACTCCTAAACAGGTGAGAGCTCCCAAATAACCTTTCATTTAAAAATAGCATAAAATCTTGCTACTCAACATCAGAGGTTCCCAACTGCCAGTCCGCAGCCTGGTACCAGTCCGTGGCCCATTGGGAACTGGGCCGCACAAGCTACAGGCAAGCATGTGAGTGCATGATGCTCTATTTGTGGCGGGCGCACACCAAACCACCCCCCACCCCCCGACGCCATTCCATTCCATTCCATGAAGCCAGAAAGGTTGAGGACTGCTGCTCATGTCAGGGAGCATGTTTAGCAGGTGCTATCCCCAAAAATATACTAAATTTCTGGAAGGGGAAGACGTCCACTTAAATGTATCTGAGACAAGCATATCTTTCATATATCAATTGGTTTTCCTGATGAGTTACTGGTATCCTTTCTTGTGCAAGAAATGACATGAAAATTCGGTTGTTAACCCATTCATCAAACTAACGGTCATATACTTCCTGATGCAATCTGACTTCCAAAGACCAAGTGCTTTGCCGAAATTTGAACTAATCATTTTCAAACTTAGGTCTCTAAATTGCCCATTCTTATATTTTTCTAGGATTTTTTTTAAAAAGATGTGGACTTATAATACAATTCCATTGATCTGCTGATCTTCACTCATTGTGAGAAAATATGTTTGTGGAGATGTCATCTGAGAAAGGCTAATGTGAACCATATTCTTTTTTAAACTCTCTTTTCTGCAGCTGGAAATGAAGCAGAAGTTCCTCATGGGCCAAGGAAGTAATGGGGAGGAGCAGCAGGCTAGTGAGATGAGCGAGGTAAACCCAGAATGTCTTGGTAAGTCTCTTTCTGCACTCGCCTCTTTTTGCAATCCTGTTAGTTATTAATAATATGTCCATTTTCCAAAGAACTTTTTGAAGAACATTTGTCTTTCTCACAAAAAGTCCAAAAGCGGCTTCATTATCAACTTAACACTCTCTTTTAAAATACAACCAGATAGCTCTTCATTCTATACTTCGTCCCTTTTTCTATAAACCCATCTCTAAATCTTCAACTGTCCTTATTAATCAGCAAAAATCCAGTAAAAATTCACCAAGGAGAAATACTTATTGGTATCTGTAGAAAGTTACTCTTTAACTGAACATCAAATTGTAATCCAAAAATTGCATTAGAAATGAGAAAAACAGGTTCTAGTGTCTATAAATTAGGGTATGAACTTGAGGGAAGACCCTGTCTCCCTATTGCTCACTTGATTGAGGAAACCTTTTCTTTTCTGTCTCTCACTAGTCCCAAGGTCTTGTTGCTCACTGGGCTCTGTTTGAATTACAGCATCTAGGCTCAGTTTGCCATTGCCTGGATTGACAAAACACTGCACTGATATGCTTGAGGCCAACCTTGAAATTTTCAGGAGAACTCACCCAAAGCATTATTCTAATAGTTGCTTTAATGTGTGTTAAATTTGTATTGCTTTTTTAATAGTCTGCATCATTCATTCATTCATTCATTCATTCATTCATTCATTCATTCATTCATTTCTTTCATTCACTTGGAAATGCTGTATTCCAAAGGTGGATGTTCCAGATTGCTAAACAAGAATCGCAAGAATAGGCTGAGATCCTGGGGTGCAGAGTGTTGCTTGTGTTATTCTTACAAAACATATATTGCCTTCCATTGTAGCCCAGCAGTGTATCCAGAAAAGTCTTCTGTTGCTGAATTTTTTGCCTGTACGGGCCAAGACTGAAGGTCTTAACTCTGATCATCTGGAGGACCAAGGGCAAGGCCTTAGTGGTAAACGCCATAGGACAAGTTCTGTCATAGAAGCAGATTTCCAAGCTTCACATCCATCACCTGCTTGTGAAGCAACCGGTTTCCCTTTCCCAGAGGGAGGTCAGAACTCTGAACTCAAGAAAAAACAAGTGCCCGATTCCCCACAGAGGGAACTGGCTTCAGCATCCCAAAGTAATTCCCTGGAAAAAACCTCAGAGACAGAAGAAACCTTGTCCCCACCTTCTACCCCAACCCGCAAGCCTCCATTCAGCCGTGGAAGGCTAAGACTTCTCTCCTTCCGCTCAATGGAAGACTCTAAACCTGCACCCAGCATCAAGGAGAAATATCCCATCTTGAAAGACATCTTGGATTTCATTAAAGATCGGTCTCTTTCCCATGAAAGGTGAGCCAAATTGCATCCTGGATGCAAATCTGTGCATAGGGTTGATCATATTTTCTGCTTTAGAGTTCCAGGAGTGGCTATGTTGTTTAACCCTATAAGTTATAGTCAATAAAGAATTGAAAATATGTTGTGGCAAGCAAACTCCGGACATTAAACAGGGAGTGAGCAAATGAAAGAAAATATATTTTAATAATTATTTCAGTACTCAAACATAGTAAAATAGTCCCTATTTTAGTAAAGAAAATAATTTTTTGTTTATAGTTCTAGAGCAGATATCGTGGATTATTCTATAGAAGAGAAATGTAGGAAATTAACTTTGAACGTTCAACAACAGCCCCAATTAATGTCAGAACAAAGCAAATATGGAGCTTAACTTCTCTTTGAAATTGCATAAGGCAACAGAAATAGCATTTTCCGTTGATTCCTTCAGGTAATGTTGATCTTTGAAGTATGGCAAACTGAAAGCTATGTTTCCAACAGCCCAAGTGTAAGAGCATTGTGAAAATGATAGCGGTACTAACTGGCTCCTCAGGACTTGAGACTTGACAGAATAGTGGAAGGCAACCATTCAGGTGCTCCAGGATCCAGAATAAGCAACTTATGCCATTCTATCCTATGCTAATTTAGAAGAAAAACATAGTCTGTTTAATCTGAAGTTTAACCCATGACTTGAGGCAAGATTCATATAGCTTTTTCTGTACCAAGATTCTGTAAATTCTGAATTCTGTTCCATGCATCCAACATCTAAATATGACGGTGGTGGTAGTATTCTGTCATCACATTTGGATATGTGTGTGTTTTATCCACAGTGTCGTGAAAATCCTTGCTTTGAGGAAAGCTCAAGCCAAAAATATTTTGGAAGTGCTAAAGATGATCCTCCAGTGCCTAAAATCACTCAGCCAACCTCACTGTTTTGTTCCACCTTGCATAATTTTCCTGCTGGAGCTTTTAGCTTGCCAGAAAGACTTCACAAAGTAAGACATGGTGAAAACCATTCCCCTGACATTCCATCAACTTAGACCATACACAGTTGGACTGGTGTGCTTTGGAATGTCCACTTGTCCATGGAATCTCCTACCCCCATATCCCATATATATTCATGTAATGTTGGTATCACCCAGTGTAGAGTTTATGATGTAGTTTGCTAGCCTTATTTTGTTTGTTTGTTTCCAGCTATTTTGGACACTTAGAAGGGTGTGGGGCTGAATTACACCGAGAAATACGGGAATCCTTCTACCAGCTGCTTCACTTCTTGGTCAATGCTTTGAAAGGATTTAACAACTACAGTGACAAGTATGAGCATTATTAATAAAACATGCTGAATTACTCTTTAATGTTATTACTTATGTTGGTAATTGATCTTCTTGGTAGCCATTGGTCCTTCTATGATGGAGAGTTTATAAACTTATTGGCTCAATTTGGAAACATACATACATATACTTTTCTGAAACTTTGAGATATTTTATTATTTTATATGGATTTTTATTAAACTTTTTGTAATGATGTATCTGATCGTTAGCCTCTCAGAGTTATCAGGAATGAATACTACAAAAATGTTATAAATAAATAATCACCATGTATTGTTTACAGTGGATCAGTTTCTGAGATTATTTCATTGCTGTATTCAGATATTGCTGAATTAGTTGCTGTAAAACTGTTGATTCACAGGGTCAGACATCTTACCATTTATATAGATAGATAGATGATAGATAGATAGATAGATAGATAGATAGATAGATAGATAGATAGATAGATATTCAGGTTTTCTCCCGTGTAAAATTGGAAGTGTCTTGGCGACGTTTCGACGAAGTCTCATTCGTCATCTTCAGGCTTGTGTCTTCGGCTTTGTGCTTCTCGAGAACACAATACAGAAGCCTGATGATGGCAGATGAGATTCTGCCGAAACGTTGCTACAACTTTAAAAGCACAACTACAACGACGTGGGAAAATATCCGAACAAAGCTGAATACCATACATGTAAGTACCCGCGAAAACTTAAGAAAACACACACACACACACACACACACACACACACACATTTTTATATACATAAGTGCTTAATAAACAGTATACTGCCTGGGTCAATTTAGTTATACATAATAATAGTTAATAAAATTATTTACTTGTACATAGTGGTATTCTTCCAACTTCTAATTTCTACCTCTATTATCATTGATAAAACAAATCCCATGTTGAAAAATATTCTGTATCTTCTTTATCCTTTATCTTTAATGCTAACCTATCCATTTCCGCACAGTTGGTATCTTTTGATTATATTATTCATAGAAACTATTATTCCAATCAGTGAGTTATTTAAAAAAAATCAGCTGGACTGTCTTGGTCTATCAAATTAAACTTTCTCTTAGAAAGAGAGTTCTTGAAAATTGGATGTCCATTTTAGAAACCTGCATGGCAAGCATAACAGCAGGTCTTAATTAAGCAGAATTTGGTTTTCCCACAATTCAGTTAATAGATCAGACCAGTTTCTATACTATATAAAGCTGATTTAGTGATATATTTAGTGATTATATTGGATATATTTAGTTATATACAATTTTTAGCTAAGGACTACATAGACTGATACAAGACTCTGGTATCTGAAGAAATTTTAAATAAGTTATTAAACTACAACCAAAGCATGGCTTCATTTCTGATACATTTTACACAGACAAAGCTGCAGTGGCATATTTTCAGGTCACATTAAATTTAAATAATCAAGTTTTAGGAAGACTGAGTGGCTATTGTCAATATAAGTATGCAAAAATTTACTGACTTCCATGCAGTGGCTTCTTTTTTGTTTCTTCATTGGATTTCAATTTATTGTGAGAAATTTATCAACATGTGGAGTAAGATTCAGGAATTTTTAATATTAATAGCCATTAGGTGACATTTCATTTTTTTATATACACTTACTGATATAACCCAATACAACTGTTCCACTAATGGAGATGGTAAGCTATCATTACCTTGACTTACAAAGAATGAAAGTTATATTCTGCATACAACTAGATGACACTAACTCAATTTCAATGAATTATTATTATTACTTGTTTAGATCATTACTGCCTGCCTTGTCCTGTGTGCAGACATGTCTCCTTCACTTTTTGGATATGGGCTGGGAAGCAAACGATCTTTCCTTCTTCATTGATATTCATCTACCACGTCTCCTCCTTACCATGTCACAAGAAAACATAAGTACGCATGACAAGATAATTTGGTAAGTCAGGAAAATATGTAATATTAAAAAGAAAACTCAGTTAAATAATTTCAAAATACGTTTTGGACATGGGCATTTTCCACAACCACTTTAAAAACTCATTAAAATGGAGTAAAATATTTAAATGATTATATATAGAATGTACTAATATTGTAAACATTATGACTTCACTATTAGTCACTTTCTGCAAAGAGGGAATAGAATTATAGATTTGGTTTGGTTTGGTTTGGTTATCTGGAATAATGTAGTCATTGCTTAAAGCTATATTTAGATTTGTCTGCAACTGCACGCAGGCATCAATGCATACCTACACTGCAAAGGGATCGATGGGTGTGCATAAGTTGCAGATAGTTGCAGATGAGTTGACATGCACACCTCCCAAATCTCAACTACACATTGTGCAAAGATGTGCATCCTGCATGGTGATTGGTTAATAAGCCTGTGTTTTCTGTGCTTCATTGTTTGAATGTTCCCTTCCAGCCAAATGGTTAACATTTGCAAATGTATAAATGCAATAGCCATGCAACCATCTCCAAACAACAAACATATACATTTTCTCATGTGGAATGATGCAAAAGTAAGAAGTAAGTAAGGATTTTAAGCAATCATGATGTGTCTTAGTGGTCAGGGGAGGCCTTGAGTGACCTGTTCCAACACTAAGTCTTCCCCACCCTAAGATACCACATATGCATTTGACGACCTGTGCATTCAATTAGCAAATGCATTGGGTAAAGTGGGGGGGTGGTCACATTTATTTAATGTGATCCAATTAATGAATCCTTGGGTTACAAATGTAATTGGCAGGCTGTATTACATTCGTAACTCGAGGATTATACCTGTACATGCCTTTGAACAGCTAGGTTGGCAGGAGTTTTGAGGCAGGTGATGGGAGCTCACTCCATCATGTGGTGGTAGGACTTGAACCCCCAGAATATAGACTTTCTCCAGCGTCTTTTAAGCCACTGAGCCACTGCATCTCTTCTAATTAGATACAGGATGCTGCAATTATAGTTCTACTGATAACATTTTATTAAACATTTTTATTAAAGGTGAAGCAATAATTGTGAAGCAGGTAAGCTCATTCTTCTGGGTATTTAGGTTTTCTATTGATATTGTCTTAGAGGTATTTCATCTTTTGTGAGAGAGAAGATGTAAAGCAGATTTTAAGATGACATTTCTGTGTTTCACATCTTAAAGCTGTACTTAATTTTTTTAAAATCTCTCTTTGCAACTGGATGTCCTGCTGTTATATTGTACTTTGACTACTATATATTTCCTACCCAAAGGTCATGCTAGCTAAAAATGCTAAAGGCTAAGAGTACATTTCAAAAGCAGCAACAAAGGGAACAATGATTAGCAAACCAGAAACTACAGCTTCTTCTGTTTTAGTTTTGTTTATGCAAATTTGTTGGAGATGGTCTGTCTGGCTTTGTCATTGTTCTGTAATGAGTTTTAATGTAATGGCTTTGTTCTCAGCCCATGCAACAAAGAAGAAGAACTTGCTGACTACAAGCAAAACTCAGAGTGGATGGACGAATGCCAGGAAGGAGTTTTTGAAACCTGGTGTGACAAGATAAGCCAAGCAGATCCTGATAAGCAGAGAAAGGTCAGAAGGATAAAAATGTTAACGTTTTTCTTTTCAGACAGAGATTTTAAAACAGAGAGATGTACTGTAGCTTACATATGTTAAATGTTTTTGGACAGTAGTAGGACTGGAAGAGTGTTCAGGAATCTCTGAACAGGTAGTCCCTGATTTATGACTGTAATAGCCTGGCAATTAGAGTCATAAGTTGTGATAATTATTAAAGCGAGTCATCACATGACCAGTTGTACCATCTTTTCTTTGTGGTGGTTGTTAAGTGAACACCATGATTGTTAAGCCCCCCCCCCCCCCCCTTTTTTTGCTGTGGGACAGTTTTTGCTAGAAACCAGAAATAAATGCCAGTTTATGGCAGAAACATAAATTGCGGTTCTCTTAGAAATATAAACCACGATTGTGTGATTGCAGGAAGCTGCAAACAGCCATAAATATAGACCAGTTGCCAGGTGCTCAAAGTGTGGTCATATTACCACAGGGGAGGATAGCAGTCGGAATAACAATAGCAATATCACTTAGACTAATATACCGCTTCACAGTGCTTTTACCGCCCACTCTAAGTGGTTTCCAGAGTCAGCATATTGCCCCCAACAATCTGGCTCCTCATTTTACCCACCTTGGAAGGATGGAAAGCTGAGTCAACCTTGAGCCTGGTGAGATTCAAACTGCCAAATTGCAGGCAGCCAGCAGCCAGCAGAAGTAGCCTGCAGTACTGCACTCTGACCATTGTGCCACCACCACGGAACTTAGAAACCAGGTTGTAAGTTTTTGGAGGGGGCATCTGTTATTACTTCCGATGGTCACTAAGCGAGCCATCATATGTCAAGGACTACCTGTGTGGCTTTGGGAACCCTCTGTATCCAAGCCTGTTGAGCTTCAGAAAGATGAGGTATGCTATTACACAACTTTTCGAAACAAAACCAGAATATAATATGCATTTCTTCCCTTTGAAATTCAAAGCAATTCTGTCAGTGAAATTACTTTCGGGTTTTGGAAGATGCCATCCTTCTTGGATTCCCATTTTCATCTGATTGCTCCTGTGCTTTTCTGCAGTGTTCACTAGGTGGGAAGATGACACAACACCCCCACTATCCCTGTCCATTATATTATTTATTGTTTATCAGCGTTTTATCACTATTCCTTTCTAGATGCACATGTTCATTGCCCGCTACTGTGACCTGTTACATGTGGATATATCATGCGATGGGTGTGATGAGATTGCGCCATGGCATCGCTACCGCTGTTTGCAGTGCAATGATATGGATCTGTGTAAAACCTGCTTTCTGGGTAAGGTAGATTGATGGAAACTGTATCATAAACTTGATTTCCCATAATGGAACTCTAGTTTAACTTTCATTGTTATACTCAGAGTCAGTTTGAGGGGGGGGGGGATATGGGTGTATATGTGCACACATAGATGTGCATACATACTCACAAAGTAACCACAAATTAATAAAGGGTGGAAGGGTGTTTGTTGAAACCAAATGTCTATGTCTGTTAAATCTAAGTGGGCTTTTTTGAATTTCTGTAGCAGTACTGACATGCCATGTCATAAACAGCTGCTCTTCTAGATGTAAACCATGATCTAGATGATCATGGCAGGTGGAGAAAAGAATATTGCAAGCCTTTTCAACTAGCAAATGTAGGATTGTGTAAATAGGAAATGTCTAATTGTCCCTACAATTGTTTGGTGTGAAGGGTATTGCTGTTAGAGTTACTATTAGATTTTTACCCCACCTTTTCATATATTATTTAATATTTGTACCTCCTATTTTCCTCAGTACAACAGCCCTAGGAGATGTGTTGGGCTGAGAGAGAATGCCTGGTCCCAAATCACTCAGTCGGTTTTCATGCCTATAGGAAGCCTAGAACTCTCAGTTACCCAATAGCTTTTAAAATTATGTACATAAGGTTAAACTTTGTTCGTTACAGTTGAAGTCCACTAAACTAAAATCTGTTAAATGAAGTTTTTATTGCTATCTATCTATACACACACATCTCACCATTGCCTTGAAAAAAATGGGAAAAAAATTAAATAGAACCATTCAATAATACAATGAAGTCTAATGCCAATTATGACTTAGTTTCATGGTTTATGATTCTGTGAAATAGACTTAACACAATCTGCTGGTTTTTTAACTTGTACATTTCTCGGGAGTAATTTATCAGCTTCTTGTGGAATAACATTCATTCAGCAAACAGAGCAGTTATTTTATGGCATAGTTTCTTGGATTCTTCAGTAGGAGGAAAATAGGCAGCAGGGCAGGGCCTGGCTCCCAGTTGCACGAAACTTTGGATGTGTGACTTTGAGGCTTTAGTGTTTCCCAAACTTTGCAACTTTTAAGATATTTGGACTTCAAGTCCCAGAAGGACTTTCAAGTCCCAGAATTCCCCAGCCATCAGTGCAGAATGATTTGCAGGATGACAATGTGAATGATGTGTTTTGCATTTGCCTACTAAAAGGTGGAGTGCGACCTGAAGGTCACGAGGCCAGTCATGACATGATTAACATGGAGTATGTTTGCAATCACTGCCAAGGTATTATTGTTGGCCAGCGCATTAACTGCAATGTGTGTGAAGATTTTGACCTTTGCTATGGATGCTACTCTGCAAAGAAGTACTCCGACAGGTACAGGCCCATTAGAGGCTACTAAATGCCAGCCTATTTCTTGGTCACATTCTCTGTGTATTTACATTGTCTTTGCTATAGGGAGAAAGATGTCTGGGGGAGGATGAAAGGAACAAAAGGGGTTAATTGACAAGATTTAATTTCTTAGAAAACCACTCTGGTTGTTCCCTTTCTACTTTGCTTAACTACCCTTCTCCCATAAGCAAAGGTTTTCTATATTGATAGTCCTCAACTTATGACCATAATGGAGCTTGCCCATCAAGGTTGTAATGGTCATAAAGTGTGTCGGTCACATGACAAACTGAGTTTTATAACCCTTTTGGCTGCGGTCAATAAATGAACAAAGGAAATTTCCATTTTTGGCAAAACGATCATAAAATGCCATCACAGGATCACGGGATGCCACAAAGAGCCATAAATGTAGCTTGGTTGCCAAGCTCCTGAAGTCCAGTCACATGACAGAGTGTGCCATTGAACTACCTGTACTGCAGTGCTGTGCTTCCCCATCTATCGATTCATCTTTGCTTCCAGTATATCCTGATCTTATTTGTATAATTTCTGCCCATTTTTACTATAGTCTTTGATATTGTTCACAGTATTTGATATACGTCAAGAACAGTCACTTCTGTCTAAGTAAAAACTTAGTATCTATCAAATCATTAATTTTCAACTGGGTGGTACAGACTGGGTTGTAGCTGATGCCTTGCCATAAAGTGGGTCACATGATTGAACCATTTATGTTTCATTCATCACTATGACAGACAGTAGGCTTCAGATATCTCTAAACAGAGTGCAGGAAAAAATACTTTGTTTTAATTAATGATCATATCAACCAGCTTTTATAACAAAGACTATTTTATTGTTTTAGCCACCTGCCTACCCATAGCATCACTGTGTATCCAATGGTGACCTTTAGGATCAGTGACTGCCATAGGCTTATCCAGCCCTACCTTCACAACTATTCCTGGCTCCTGTTTTCTGCCTTGGCTCTCTACAGCGCTGACTTAACTTGTGGCAAACAAGCAGATGGAGAAGAACTCAGTCCAGAAATCATCGCTCATGCTAAAATCCTGCAGCAAGAATGTATTCAGTTGATAGGAGATTGCCTGATGAAAGTGCAGCATGGAAAAGGTGAGTTGAGATATTGTAACACTGTGGGAATATCCTTGAGAAACAGGAGGAGGAGGAACCACAGCCAGAGCAAAAAGTAAGAGATGAGACGTCTCAGCCCACACAAAAAATAGGGGAAAGGCATGGAAAGCATCCTAGAAGGGACCCTCCCTAGTTGCTTGGAGAATAAAAGAAAGGGGAGGGGTGGATTGTGTGCTTTCAGACTTGCAAGATTCTGTTAACTGTAACTTTACAATGAAGGCAGTGTTAGAACTCATGGTTTCCTACTTTGAAAGGCGGACAGATGTGGCTATTTGAATGCAAGATATTTAGCATTCCTGTCCTGGCACAGCTTTGGTAGACATAAAGAGTCCACAAACATGAAGGATATTTGTCTATCAAAAATAAGTTCATCACATATCCTCTTTCAGCATTCCAGATCAACCTTATCTGAACTGACTTCCTCCTGAATAGTCTTTGCAGTGTGTATAGTTGATTCCTTAAGCTGTTTCTCTTAAACTTAGTCATATAAAAATAGTAGGAATTAGGAATTTATGCTCTCCACATAGATACTTTCAAATTACTCCACAGCGGTAGATTAATGAACATGTTACATGCTGAGGTTTCTCTGTGGAACAAAAGGGAGCTCATCTTTTCCATTGTATGACCCAAAATATTTTGACGGCTCTTGCCATTGTTGTGGTATCTGTAACTCTCGGATGCTTGTCTTTCATCAAGAAAACTTCAGTTGCTGCTAGTGATGGTTGACCTTCCATCTCTGTTACCACCATTTCTGATGTGAAACTTCTATTTATAGCAAGTTCATTTTTTCTAAACTTGCAACAAGAATTCACCAAGAAAATTCAGTATAATCTCACTGATGGCCCAAACATCATGAGCAATATTTAATGGTACTGAGAATCAAGCAGGATGAGGAGGACTGTGTTTTCCCATCCACATTTTGTGCAGCCCATCCACAACGTAAGCAATGCTGTTCCTGAGTCAGGTCCAGGCTTCAGCTCATGCCTGAAAGGGAACTGGACAATCCATCCCAGATCCTCTGAAGTAACTCCAGATGAGGTAGAAGTTGTCCAAGATGGGTGGATAAAGGAATTTCCACTTTGAGGAAGATATATCACTTCCTCTCTCACATTACCATTTCCTGTCAGCTTGAACAAAACAACAGAACAGAACAGTAGACACACATGAAGCGGAGCCCGGGCGGGCGGGCGGACGGTGCGAGCGGCGGGCGGTGCGAGCGGAGCCCGGGCGGGCGGCGGGCGGTGCGAGCGGCGGGCGGTGCGAGCGGAGGCCGCTGAGCGGCAGGAAAAGGGAGCTGGGCAGCGATTTCTTGGCGCGCGGTGGGGGGTCTCTTTTGGCCGGCCCCGATTTTTTTTTCAGAGGGGAATATCATGCCTGGATTAAGTATTCAGTAGATATGTGATGGAACCAATTCCATGTATCCTGTCTTTCGGAAATGCATTGATTGGGGTGAATCCTGAATTCAGACTGTTTTTAACCTGTCTTGAACATCTAAACTTACTTTCTTTGCATCTAGGTCTGAAAAGTCAAACTCTGCTTAGCATGTTGCCAGAAGAACCTTTGTCTGAAAATGGGATGCCCTCAGTTGATTTTTCCACAGATAGCGATGTAGAAAATCACACCAGTGAGAAAATAATGGAAAATAACAAGATACCCAAATCTGCCATCCACAGCAATGTAAATATTTTTTGAAAACATATTGAGTTGTTTAAGTTACTTATCAATGCAGATCAATGCAGATCCTTGATATTAAAGAGATATATGCAAATATGGGAGTATCTTCTTGTGTCTCAACAGAGGGGAGATGGATTCTAAGTGATCTTGTTTTAGTTTTTTTAATCCTGTTTTTATAAATAACTCAAGGCAGAGAACAACCCTGCGAGGTGGATTGAGCTGAGAGAGAGTGATGGGCCCAAAGTCACCAGCTGATTTTCATGCTTTGGGCGGGACTAGAACTCATGGTCTCATGTTTTGTAGCCTAGTTCCTTAACCACTAGGCTAATAAACAGGTCAACCTGTTTCCTACAGAGGAAGGTGGATGAGTTCCAGGATTATTGGTTCACCTGGTCTTAGGCAAGATCTCTTTATGACCTCAATTACATCAAATTGAAGAAATCCTAAATATTCCTAAGGCTAAACCTTGAGCCTTTGTGGCTTTCACCTCCTGTGTTCTTAGTCAGCTACTGAATAAGCTGCAGTTGACTCTCTCTCTTTGGAGACCTCGGAGGGTAGGTGTACATTCAAAACAGCCTTCTTTAACACTGAACACTCAAGATGTGCTGCCACTGCAGTTCCCCAAATCTGATGACTTTGAATTACAGAACCCACTTATCTGGAGAGCTCTAACCTGAGAAGGCTAATTCAGATATTAGGAACGATCCCCTTAATTGCTTAATGATAGGAGCATTTCTTCAACAAGAACTTTAGAATTTTACACTGGTTTATGGTATGTTATTCTATTGGAGCATTGCAAATAAAATGGCTAAAATTAAAATAGCTTCTTTCTTAAAAGTCTGTAACTGCTTAAAAATACAGTTTGAAGTTACTCTGTTATTTTTACTTAGGGAGATGGAAGCACTACTGAAATTCAGACTTCTAAACAAGAGAGTAAAATGAAGATTGAGAACAAACTTTCCAATGGTCTTCCACCAAAGAAAGAAATGGTATCACAAGAGAAACAGACTCTTGCTTTTAATTCAGACTTACTTGCAAAAGAGAGCATATCCCCAGGTAAATTTTACTTTTTAGCTCCTTTATAAAAAAAGAGCAATTGCTGTTCAATTTCTTTTTTCTTGATTGTTTATGTACATTCTTTGCAGCCAACTGTATTACTATTGGTCTGCTCCTAATAGCAATACATTATTGTTGATTTCTAAATTGGCTAAAATGTATTTATTTAGTGTGCTCTTATATTTTACCACAGTAGAAATGTTACTTTTTCCTACAAAAAAACCCCTGTGACGTAAGTTGAACTGAGAAAGTAATTGGCCAAAGGTTACTCAGTGAGATTCTGTGACTGAGGTTAGATGAAACACTTTATTCACTTTAATACACAGGCTCTCACTCATTTCTCATTCATAGCTTAGAAAATTGGTAACGTTGAGCCTAACTGCGTACACAAGGACATTTTGAAAATTGATACTAGTGTAGCTGCCCATCATACAATCAGAAAATTGCTATGATTTTCCTAAATACCCTATATTTACAAACAATAGTTAGTATATTACATGTGTAATGCTGTATCCTGGTAATGCCAAAAACGATCACCAGCCTTCCAGAGGTAGATGCATGAATTCCTAGCATGCTCTGTCTCCCTCTCTACCAGTCCATGTACAGATAGTCCTCAGTTAATGATTACTTGTTTAGTGACAGTCCAGTGTTACAGGACTGCTGAATAAAGAGACTGCACTGTACTGCTTCGGTCACATAATTGAAATGGGAGCATTTAGCAATTGGCTCTCAATTTTAATGGCCACAACATCCTGCATCACCTCATCACCATTTGTGACCTTCATTGCTGGTTTCTAACAAGCAAAGTCAGTGGGGAAGCCAGCAGGAAATCACAAATGGCAATCATGTGATATCATGCTTAATGACTGCAGGATTTGCTTAACAGTGATAACTGAAAGTGCCATTTAAGATGGCATGGTGACATACATGACTGCGCTGTTTATTGACAGAGTTGCCAGTCTCAATTAATATTGTTCATCTAGAACTCCCTATATGAACATGGAAATAATATCCATTTGGGAATAATAGTGACCTATTTTACTATGTTATATATGATGAGGAAATGTGCACCATTATGAAGATTGAATTGATGCATTGTAAATCTGCAGTGATTGTAATATTACAGATAATTTCAACAGTAAGCATAACTTGAGGAAGCATTTTTGTTTGTTGGTTTTCAGATGTTGAAGTTTCTGATACTTTGCCTCCACACCAAGCTGAAGAAAAAGCAATGCCTTGTCAAGAGGAAGTATTTGCTGAATGTTCCCAGAAGAGGATTCTCGGGCTACTAGCTGCAATGTTGCCACGGCTGAAATCCGTAAGGAAGTATCCAAATTAGGGAAGTCAGTAAAGGAGTTTAAGTGCTTGATAATTAAGGAAGTAAGAAAAGGGCAATCCCTCCAGAAGTTCATATGAATAGGAAGGAGTTATCTAGGACATTCCATTCCATCCCTTCTTCAAATTGTTTGATATCCAGTAGACCTGTTGTTGGTTCAAAAATGAAAAAAACAAACAAACTGCGAATTATCTAGCTTTGAAAAACTCAACTTTTGAAGTATGTTAGTTAAAATAAAGTATGTTGTATCATCCGCTCTGTTGATTTCCATACTCTTCCCTGATTTCTCTTTGTAGGGCTTAACAATGTCTCTAATTAACTTGGACCAAATCCTTCCTCTTATGTTTGATGTTGTGATCTCCAATGCTGGCCATTTAAATGAAACTTACCACTTAACTCTGGGGCTCCTGGGACAATTGATTCGGAGACTGACTCCTGCAGAAGTGGATGCTGCTGTGAACAAGGTCCTCTCCACCAAGCATAGCCTTGTGGCTGCTGGTGATGGCTCCATAGTGCCAGAAGGCTGGAAAACAACCCATCTCCTCTTCAGTCTGGGAGCAGTCTGCCTGGACAGGTCAGTTTTCATGATGGCTTAACCTCAAAAGCTTTTAATATGTCCAGGTGACACTTTCTGTTATAAAACTATCACGGAATGGCAGAATGTTAAAAATGTTTGCAAGCATGGCTGCTGCTCGAAACAAAAACACCCCTAAAAGGCAGCAAATACTGCCTTCAATAAGAAACAAAACTGAGGCTCACATGAAATTAGTAAGAGCCGTCATGGCACAGTGATTAGAATGCAGTATTGCAGGCTACTTCTGCTGACTGCCAGCAGTTTGGCATTTCGAGTCTCAACAGCTCAAGGTTGACACAACCTTCCATCCTTCCAAAATGGGTAAAATGAGGACTCAGATTGTTGGAGGCAAAATGCTGACTCTTTAAAATGCTTAGAGAGGACTGTAAAGCAGCGTGAAGCGGTATATAAGTCTCAGTGCTATTGCTATCAGTATTACTAATGTAAATATTTTTTAAGGGAAGAAAAACAGAAATGGGAAATGCTAAAGATAATCCTGTATTGTAGCTTATTTGAAAATAGACCTAAATTTTAAACTTTGCAAGACTTTCCTGCCTAAAGCAAAGATCTCAAACTCACTGCCTGAAGGCCACTTATTGCCCTCCAAGTCATTTTCTGCAGCTCATTACAATCATGGGGGGAACAGTAAGTTGTGCAAGAAATGTCCCTCTTAGCTGGCAGGATCTACCCCAAGAAGGCAGCTCATTTCAATGGGAATTACAAGTGAAGCAAAACAGTCATTGGCCGCTTTCAGTTTTTGAAGCAATGTTGATGTAAGACAGGCACATGCGGGAGCACATATGAAGATAAATAATTATTTCTAACTGTTGGTTTCTAGCCGTGTCGGATTGGACTGGGCCTGCACCATGGCAGACATTCTGCGAGCGCTGAACTCCTCCTCTCAGTGGCATTATGTGATTGGTGCCTTCACCGACCACTGCATCAAGCAGCTTCCCTTTCAGTTGAAACATACCAACATTTTCACATTACTGGTACTTGTTGGCTTTCCAGAGGTGAGCATATTAAGGCATGTGCTTTTCTAGGCCGCTTTCTGAAGCTGCAAATAGAAATGCAACCAAGACATACAGTTTAAACTTTGATTGATTTCAGTTTAGAGGACTTCAGATGCAATAGACAAAAGTTATATCCAGGCATCTTTTCAGAATGACAGTCCAGATGAATCACATAAATTGATGGAGTATAATTACATGTGTATGTAATTATGTCTGTCATAAATAGATACAAATGATGTAAATTTAGATTACAGTGGCTAACCCCTTCCTCAAATTGTTCAGTAAATCATAGTTTTACCTGTAGCTTGCTTGGATAGAGAGCAAATTTAGTTGTAATCTACCTTAACTGAACAAATGTCATCTGAATGTCTCTTTCCAACTCTACAGGTTCTATGCATGGGAACCAAATCGGTGTACATGGATAATGCAAATGAGGCCCACAATGTGATCATCCTCAAGCATTTCACAGAGAAGAACAGGGCTGTGGTTGTGGATATTAAAACCCGAAAGAGGAAAGCAGGTTCATGTCACTCATGTTTGGATATTTCTTTACATCTTGTACATTGAAACTTAATGTGTGTGTGTGAGCTAAATGGAAAAATTACATGATCACAACTGTGCTTTCCTTTTCCCCACTCACAATCTAGTGCTGGGATAGTTGGCATATTGCTACAACCTGTGATTATTAGTTTCATAACTTACACGTTTGCCTCCTAACCATTACTGCTTTGGAACAGTCATCCAAGTAGTGGGATAATTAACAAAGGAATTAGTTTTTGTAATTTACATTCATTAGA